AAGAACGGATTGTTCTCTCGATCGATCTTTCGACGAACAATGCAATCACCTTTTCAGGATCCGCGATGGAAACCTTTCTTTCGCCGTGTGCGCATCACGTTGATATAAATGATCATAATTAATTGAAAGTCGGTGGCTAAGCTGCCGCGATAGGTCATGCTTGTCTTGCGTTTAAGCTTATTTTTTTTTAAGAATAAATGCCAGGTGTTCATCATTTATTGTCTCGAATTTATTTGAAATATCTTACTTTTCCCACGCGAGATAAAACGCTTTCATTGAAGCATTAAAATACAAATTGCTTCCTTTTTTAGCTACAAAATGATTATCATAGTTATGGAATAATAAAGCAGGCGATAAGAAATTGTTACTATTATTATATCAATGGTGATAGGAATGATCTATATATTGGGATAGACAGATCTATCACGATATGGACTAAATAAATCCGAGATCAATGGTTTGTGCACCGTTAAGTCTTCTCGCGTGGCTTCGCTCGATCGAGAATCCAATCCATCTATCTATGAGCCGACGATTCTGCTGGCTTCACGCCCAAACGATCACGTGGATTGATAGTTCTCTTCTTGCTCTACCGCTTCCTTGAGAAATTCTCTCGTTTCAACGAATGTAGCTATCTCTAACAATTTTACGGTGTAAAATGTCCGAAGAGATTTAAGATCTGTTCGAATTCTGTCTTAAAAAGCTGTGAGCAGTTCAACGGATTATATAAATTGAACATCTCACAGCTTTTTAAGAATTATAATACATTAACTTTGTTGAAATCATTTTCCATATATAAAATATTAATAATAATAATAATTAGTAAGAAATCGAAAGAAGAATAAAAGTTGTGTCTACAAATATTACATTCTCGAAATTAGTGTTTTTAAAAGCTCCCTTTCTCTCGACCACTTATCAAGTGATCGATCTAGGCTACAAACGCTGTCTGGTCGTGCTTAAAAACCATAGTGGTGGCAAAATCTGTTGCGGCCCTTAGGGCAGCGGGTACTCGGACGGATCGACTCGGCGGAAGCGACGATTTTAAGTGCGGACTGAAAGACATATTTCGGGATGCGTTCTATATTTATACGCACTGGTGTACGCATCTATGCGCACGAGAGAGTGCCGAGCGATTTACGCGTCTGCGACTCTCTCGACATTCCACGCGACTTTCTTTGTGCTTCCCCCTCATGGATGTGTACGTGCCACACGTCGCTCTGGAATCCCGTTTACGGAATGCATGCGAATCTTCGTCGGGCGACTTTATCTTCGGCCACCGACAACACATTCGGCAACATTCGTGAATTTATGTGGCGCCTAAACTATATCGCTGTCGTCTAACACGTATTACTGACCGCCGCTGACCGTGACGTTATTCCAAAAGCGTGTTACCGGAATGAAATTAATTTCGTGATTGTAACAGCAAAAAAATATCGTATAAAAAAATTTGCAAAAAGAAACTGTGTAAAAAACATTACTTTTATAGCGATTTATCATTATACTGTTTTTTTCTTTTTTTTTTTTAATTTAGGAAAATAAATTTCTTAAAAACAATTTTAGAATGCAAGAAGCAGAAAACACTCAGAGAATATAAATAAGCACATTATCAATATCCTTATTTTTAAAATTTTTATTGTTTCAATAACTCTCTCAAATTAACAAAAAAAGATAACAAATTAATAAAAATTTTGTCAAGATATTAAAGAAAAAAATTCTAAGATATGAGTAATATATATTAAAAAATAAGTAATTGAGAGTTTAAAAGCACGTATATGGGAAGAAAAGTGCAAAAAATTAAACGCAAAGCAAAAAATGATGGCGAGCGAAAATTACATTGTCTACAGATATTACAATCCTAATAACTTTTCCGAGAAAGAAACGATTTACGCGAATGCAACATGACTGATGAGGCTTTGATCTAAGATTATTCACGCGCAAGATGCGAGAAATCTGAAGTAATTCCGAGTTAAGAATATATACAAATTCAGTCGGCCTTGCCAGCGCGAGTGAAATGGTGAAGAGACAGACTGCAGTCATAATTCAAGGAAGTATCCGCCTTGGCGATCTGCGGTAACATTCCGCATAGTTTCAGCTTGTATGTGCCGTTTCCAGCTTAGGATCATTACGCGTAATTTATAATGATCAGCAGGCACCTTGCTTACTTCGCAGTCAATAGAAGAAACTTATCGTGCTTGCACATCAAGGGAACTGACATTCAAACATTTTGCCTTTCAATGTAGTTTCGAATAATCATCAGTTTCAGGTTTACTATGAAAGCTTTTACCGTGAACGCTCTTTGAATTATTGTATTTTGCTACGATAAATATAACTTTGTCCAATTTTGTTTTATAACACACCGAATATAACAGTGATATATTATCTTAACAATATGTGATCGAAAAAATATCTAAATTATAATTATATTCAATTATTTAAAATGAATAAATTGAAAGATTCTAATTAAAAATTAAGATAAAGCACAATAAATTAATAATTTTATAATTTGTTTATCCAAAATATAACGTAATAATTTTTTCATTATTATTATTATTATTTAACTTAAACATCTCTTTTATAACCCTAACAGTTTTCCATATCTCTCTTTAAAACGAAATGATCTGTCAAAAAAATTCACAATTATACGTAACCGTAATAACTTTGGGAGATATAATTCGAAATAAAAATGAAAAGCACTAGATGAGGAACATATATTTTACGAAGTTATAAAACTGTTATAGAAATCTTCTATTTTCTTCTTAGATTTTATAGATACCACTCTTGCGTTTACTCAGCTTTACAATTTTTTTTACATCAAGATTATATTTACAACGCGCGCGTTTTCACGAGTTAAACAATACCGACAACTCGGTATGCAAATATTATCCTTCGAAGCAATTTGTACGTGTCGTTACCCGGTCTTCCTCAACAACCCGCACATATCGCGAATTCTCATGTCTTTCGTGTCCCTCGGCTGGAATAGCACAAGTTACTAGTTAGAGGGAGAGATCTCTCTCTCGGGTCAGAAATTTATTCGTGACATTCCGCATAATTTTGCGTCGGCAGCGTTGTTTTCGGCATAAATACATACCCCGTCGCGTCGCGCGATTTAGAATACTCGGCGCGCGAAATCGGCATTGTCAAGATTATCCGGCAACAGGATCATCCTCTCTCGCGAGCGGAAACATGGTCCGTGACTCTCCCGTGGGATTTAAGTTCACATACGGTGCAACCGCTCGACGTGAAAATTTATGTGGACTATAATTCACGTATGTCCGACTGCACTTCTACGCTTTCGCTAATCTTTCGTCCTCGTTTATAGTACGTTTAAGATTTAAGAATCTAAATATCATACCGCGCATGTAAAAGAAAAAAATCGCAGATAATAATAATTAAATATAAAAACAATCATTTTAATCGAGATAAATAAACAATGCTCAAAAATATCAAAAAATTGTTCTGAAGAAAGCAAAATTAGACGGCGGGATTTATAAACAAAAATCAATTAGCAGAGAAATTACTCTTAATATTACACATACTCTTAATCTTCATTTCGACGAATTTCTATGACGGTCCTTTCCTTCGTTTTGGATACGAATTGTATGGCGGACAGCCAGATTCCCAGACTTCTGGTGATTATAGTACAGTTATAAATGCGGTATTCATTTAACATAGTCTCTTTCATCACCTAATAGCAATAAGCCTTCCCATTGTTGACTATTAAATATCGTCCATGCTATAGCACGCTAATACGTCTTAATGAGACGGGAGTGCAAATGACGTAATTGTTATTGCGATCGTTAATTGTTTCTCGAAGTTCAGACCTCCGTCCGTAATGGGTGGCCGTTAGAACAAGCTTCGTGGCCTCTCTCGCGAGGGTGGATCGGGACGGAAATCGATCGACATATCTGTGATCGTCGGGGCCTTAATGCGGTCAATGGTCCGTTGCGTGCGGCCCTTAATTAGTCAGTCCTTCTCAACGAGCTTGATATTACGGATCCGGCGATAAGACCGCATGTGCAGACTCAAGGAATGTACGGTATAAAGGATAAACTTGGAGATTATACGAAATAATAAGCAGGTTCTGTTAAGTTTTAAGTTTTCTTAATAAGTAGTTTCGCATCATAAGATCGTCTAATTTTAATTGCTTTGGATTTGTTTTACCTACTTTTTGCGAGAGAGAGAAGTACTAATAAGATTTTATTAAAGATATATATCTGCACATTACGTAAACTTGTCAATCTAAAATCATAAACTTGATATATTTGTCAATTATATTAGAAAGAAGGAATGTAAGGAATGATATCATCGAAACAGATTAATCTAATAGATCCTTTTGTTCCAATAATATTAGTTTTACAAATTACAAAAAGACGTTAGTTTAACAATTAAAAAAAGAGACTCTTTTTATTTTTATTTTTAAAAATCTATCGACATTTTTTATTTATTCTCTCTTCATACAATAACGTAAGTATTTCAAAAAAATCTATGTGCATGCTTTGTGTAATATCTCTTGAGAATTATATATACTTTTTAATCATACTTTTTAAATTATAATTATTAATTATAGATACATAGATATTTATTTATTTCTTGTTTTTTGGTTTTGAAAGAGAATTTAAAACAAAACTTTACAGTGCTTACAGTATAATAATGTTATTCTTATAAAATATAGGTATTACATAACAATTCCTCTTATTGTTAGCCTAATTAGTTTTAATGTAATAACTTGATTTGATAGCAAAATTTCTATAATAACTGTACACAATTTTTAAATTATTTCTAGATTGTCTTTGGACAAAATCTAATAAAATCTTTTTATATCTTAAAAAGAAGAAAAGTTTAATTTTAACATACGTTATAGAAAATGATGAAGTGTGTCTTTGAGAAAATACTAAATAAAGGATGACGCTATTTAGGAGTGCTTAATTCGGCGCCACCTGTGCTTGACGGCTTGTGCGCGCGGGTGTGCGCGCGCGTGAGCACTTATGAAACCTGCGCGGCACGCGGCTCGGCGGCCAGTCTGATTCCTCGTCGCAGTGCGATACGGTCGATAGAAGTAAGCCACGTAATGCAACCACAGTGGTTGCAGTGAATTGCAGTGACAAACACGATACCACCGTATGGCATATACGAGAATCACCCTCGCCACTTTACGCGCGCCCTTCCTCCCTCTCGGTTTCAAGATAAGCCGCTCGTTCAATCCGCTCGCGGATGCTGAAGACATCGCCGCCACGTGAACAAAACGTTATAGTGCATTTTGGAGCATCGGGATTATCGCAAAATCTGTCGTATTCTAACGTAGAATAATCTTCTAATTCTTCCATTGCGTGGAAGAATTATATTTGCATCGTTTATGAAGATAATTAATCTTCGTCTTATACAAAAATTTTCGTTGATCGAAAATTTTTGCGGAAGCTGTCAACATTTCTGCATTTTTTGCAAATAAAATTTAGAACAATTCTGTTTTCTGAGTAAACGTCGTTTACTCTATCGACCTTGTCATAGAGATAACAGTTATCTACGCATTTATACAAGTTTCTAAGGTTGATTATCCGCGAGTTTGAAAAACGAAGAAACTTACAAGTGTATAAAGAATCCTTAACGAATCCGCGGACAATCATCGGAGAAATCAGAAACGACCGATTCGACACAATCACGTGAATCCTTTTACCTCTGAAACTCGACAGTTGCAAAATTACGGTTGACAGAATTTGTATAGATCGTCCATCGATCACTCTGGAATTTTCCGACGTGGAACCGTGACACAACCGTGACATAAATTTGCGACAAAAAGAAGATAAAAGAATCATCGAAAAAGCGTACAAGGAAGAAGGTGTACAAACAAATACGCTTGAACGAACATCAGCCAGCTATAAAAGCTTCGTGCAAACAGAGGCGATAGCGTCATCATTGCCGTGACATTGGACGCTCCTGTAAAAATTGTTTACATATCTCGGAAACCGGCGTTGATATCAAAATACTCTACTATATTTACGTCGTGAATTCCTGAATTGTCAGAAATCATTGATCTCGGAGGAAGAAAGAGAGAGAGAAACATGTTTCTTTTTTACTCTCGATTCCAAATCGTCATTGTCGAAAGATAAATTTATTGTTACACATTTGCATCCAAAGATCCACAGTTTATTTGTTGAGCATATCTGCCGATCTGGAATAATGCCGGTGATCTCGAAATTAGTATAGACTCGTCTTCCGTCAGATATTGTCAAGATATCGTTGAGTCGACGTGAAGGAAACACGCGTGTGGACTATCAAGTGCAACTTAAGGGTGGATGGTCGACGTGGACAAAGAGACGCCGACGAAGTATCGATCGACCTGCATCTTGAAGAGGATGCTCCCTTTGGTCTTGCACGAATAGAGTTCACATCGTAGTCACGTGCCACGACGAACGCGAGGACAGAAACGCAGTGAGGATAGGGACGAGGAGAGGGATAGAGGGAGGGCGAGGGAGGAAGCAGCAGGCGACGCTGCGACGTCGTCATGGAAAATCGATTTGCCGCCGACCACCACCCCGCTACAACCACCCGACGAAGTGCAATGACCTCCAAACCGGGAAGATCTTACAGTGTGAGGTAAGTTTCGTGTCTCGTGGTAGGAATCGTATGTGAGAGCTGCGGCAGGAAAAGGGAAGGGAAGGCGATGAAATGACGAAGCGAAGAAAGAGCCTGGCTCCCACGAAGAAAATAGCCGCTGCTTCACGCGGTGTTCCGATGTCTACGACTTTCGCGACTTTTTTCTTTATTTTACTTCCGGCCTCGGTTTTCCGAGGAACGATTTTAAACCTACAACCGTCGCTTCTTTTTTGATGGAAAGAGACTGTTTTGTCTCACTAAGTTGACGCTTTACACGCGGTATATTGCTTTATTAAGACGAATGAGAAAAGTTATAATGACATTTCGTTATATTAAATTATTCAAGTTTTAAATACAATTAATATATTACAAAATAATTATAATAAATATTTTATTTTATTGCGTTATTAAATTATTTTATTAATTTTTTAAATAATTTTCCTGAAAATGTTGCATTTAATATATATAAGACTTGTTCTGAAAAAATATATATTTGTTGCATTTGAAAGAAAAAGAGAGAAAGATATTTAAAGCATTTTTATCTAAGAAAAGAATGCGATATTTATATTTATTATTTGTTAACAGTAGAAGAATTCAAAACGTAAATTGCGTTAATTGCAATTTGTCTGGAAAAATGATTATGATATATAATATATTGTAATTATGCCTATTTATTAGAAAATTGCAGACAGTTTTTCTCCAAATTAATTAACATTTGTTATATTATTTTCTAATTATTTATGTTATGCGTTGTTTAATTTACGTAACAATTATTTAATAAGATTGAAATATTTTTCACTTATGTTAATTCCTTGAGAGAAACGACTGAGAATTTGCATTTTATCAATTAAATATAAAGAAACTTTTGAGATGCTTATTTTCTGTTTCAGTTTTATTCGCTTCTTTTCGATATTGAGTTTTAAACCGAGCGTTTTAAAGTTGAAAGCAAGGTCATCTGTTCGCAATACGACGCCAGCACGATTTCGCAAAAATGCATTATTTCAAACACAGTAATCATAATTTACATATGCATAAACATAGCTGTCGCAAAATATTCCCGTTATCGCATTTGACTCTGCATTTAAAGTAAGAATAAAGAAATTATATACTCATCATTTAGTACGAGAAATGCAGCTGTCAGGTTTTAGATACATATTAAACATATAATGTTATTTATTGTCGGATACAAAATTTGGAATTACACGAACACATTTAGCATTTTAAACATATGGCTTGAGCGCAAAGTATATGTTATTGAAAGCTATCTTGAATGTCTGAATTTGGGTTTTATTTGTTCAATGAAAAGATCGCACACACAATGTTAATACAAGAGAGTTACTACTTTTAACACTGAATATATAATCAGAGTATAAATCAAAGCGCATACGCTCGCAGAACTGATGTGCACTTTCTGATTTCGCGCGTCGCATCCTTCCAGAAGAGTTCGCCAGCGGACGAGTTGTGAGATAACTGACAAGTATAGTTATTATTTTGAACTCAGAGACTTCTTTATGTACGAGTTTGCATCCGTCTTTGGATTCTCTTGAGAATTGAGAGAGATCGCCGTCTTTTGCCAGAGATCTCTCTTCCTGATTATAAATGTGCGTAAAAAAACAGTCTCGCGCATCTGGAAATTGCATACAAGTATAATAGTTTCTAATATTGCATTGAAATTATATTCGTGATTATTAAAAAGGATAAAAGGGATGATTATTCCTTATTTTACCTTCTTCCTATTTCTTATTTTTAATTAAATAATTGCAGCATTTAATATTAAAAACGTAAAAGCAGCTAAACAAATGATAATTTAATCCGCGGAATATTTATTATAGAGTTATATAATAAATTAAAATAAATATTATAATAAATATTATAATATTTTAACAAAAAAGTGCTCATGACCCAATGAATTAATATAAGACAGCTTTTTCGTGCGGACTATTTATTTTTCTTGCTTGATATCCGATTATTTTTTTTTTTTTTTTCGCGAAGATCGCAACATGACTTTACAATTTTCCACTTTCCCGATTGTATGTAATCGTAATAATTGAGAGAATATTGCAAGTATAGATAAACAATAAGTAATATATGCTAAAAATTCTTTGTGTATATTGCTATTTTATTAATATATTAATTGTAAGTTATTTATTAAATGCTTTTCTACGGTTTTTGCATTGCTATTAATTTCGATGCATATATAAAAGTTTTTTTAATAGAAGACAATTTTCTGGAAATATGAGTTACAGAGCTTTCGTCGAATCGTTTATCTTGAGATTAAGGAAGATTTCAATGATATGTTCAGATGTGACTTGTTTGTAACAATAGCTAAAAGCGTCAAGAAAGATTCTTCTTCATTACTAGAATGTTACGCGATTTTCAGCGCCGATTTTTATTTTTGAAATCTCGATAAATAATAATTTATCTCCATGATCGAGCTCGCCCGTTTGGATCGGAGCAACATGTGCCAGAATGCTAGATTGTCTACTTTCAAGGCCTTCGGGGTGATTTAAGTGGATTTTATTGTAACCGGTAACGGCAGGTTTCCGTCGTTTGTTCAATGCGCGTGTGATGATGTAAATTTTTTTTAACGACATCTTATGTAACGCGATTAAATCCGAAGATGCGATACATATAAAAGTGAGCACGAAGGCAAAGGAAAAGGAAATGGATTTGAGAATGAATAGAATACCAAAGCGGATCATTGTATATATAGATATATCTCGCGGCTAAAATGAGTTATTGTAGAATAACGTCATCAATCTAGAAGATGACTTACAATGAATATAAAAATGAAGAGAATATTATGCCAAGAAGAAGTAGTGGTGATACGCACATAATAAATTTTTTAATGTTTATATATATACACACACAAGCACACAATAATATAAAGTATATTTACTTGCACTAATAAATTATTCTTATTTTTCTACTATAACTAATTGATCAGAACCTGTATAAGCGAATTTCAACGAATTATTGCGAAATTTAATTTCCATGAATTACATCGTAATCTTCTGAGATAAGTGTAAATCTTAATTAATATCAAAGCCAATGTGCCATTAATCACGCAGCGAGCGAATTAAGTCTTATATGTTAAAGACACATGCCGTAATTACGTAAAAAGGAAAGAATACGTGGCTATGAATATGTGAACTGTGTCATATACGTGAATAGTTGCCGCTAAATTTATATTAATGTGCATTAGTTTAGTATATTATAAATATCGCGTTGCGAAACGCTGCGTGAGATTGCATAAATCCATCCTTAAGATATAACATCTCATTAATTATAATTATACATTTGTTGATTAATTTGTCAAATCATGTCAAAGTCAATATTCTTCGAATTATATATATAATTGAAAGAAAAGTTCTTATTTCTTTTCAAAAGGTTTTAAATAATAAAATCTAATTGTTTGCTTTCTCTCATTTAAATTCTCTGACAAACAAAATTTTAATACAATTTAATTATATCTTACAAGACACATATATTTTTAATCACATATATAAATTATTATTACATCCACAAGATAAATGTATTTAATATCATTACGCTGTACAACATTTATTTTTTTCATATTGCACTGGTAAAAACTTATTTAATACGAGAGTGCTATTATGGGAATATATTGTGTGGAAAAGATCGAATGCAGCCGAAGAAATTAATCAATAGACAATAATTATATCCAGCGACGCATATTTTCATTACTATTGTACATTGCTATATCAGATTTGATTCAATTTTCCATGACGAAAGGTGTGGCATGGGAAACTTAAGAACTTACCGGTTTTAAATATTTCTCCTGCGTCTTTTACTCGCTGTTATTATACTATGCGTCTCTTATTATTATTTGTGGCTCATCGTCGGCACGCTGCTCTTCTCTGTTTTATTTTGCCTGTAATTGAAAATTAATCTTTCGATTATTCGATAAAAAATAGTCGAGTTAATAGATACATGCAGTTTTTGACGAAAGTGACTGTAGATTAAAAATCGATTTCGGAATTTTACTGTTATTGATTTTTTGGAAACTTACAGATGGATACGTTGTGGAACTCTTTTTGTTCTATATATATCTCTTTTATTATATTTTTTTTAGAAGATAAAAATAACATGGATCCTAAACGAACTTTGATGTGTACGCTTGACATGTATATGTTATCAGTGGGATAGACGTATCGTAATAGGTACCACACCCTTTCGTTATCGTTAATATGCCTGAGTTATAGGACGGCAAAAAAGCAAACCCTAAAATAAACTGGGTTATCGATAACTTTTATTTGCTACAATATGAAGAGGAACGTAAGATATTGATAGAATATGCATGTATATATATATCCTGAGTTATAAAAAAGCAAACCCTAAAATAAACTGGGTTATCGATAACTTTTATTTGCTACAATATGAAGAGGAACGTAAGATATTGATATATTGATAATGTATATATATATA